TAAAGGTTGACAGTTCAAACCCATCCAGTGCATCACAGATGAAAGGCCTGATGCTCTTCTGCAAAGATTACCAGCTAAGAAAATTCTATGGAGCAATTTTACCCTGTAACATATGGGGTTGCCATGAGTTGGAATTGACTTGACAGCAATGAGTACCTTGTAGATTTTCTTTCATTGCCTTGCACACCTATTTTCCTTGCACCACATCTATAGAAAGCTAATATATTTATATATCAATTGTCACATTTTTATATTATTCAGATGATGATTTTATTAAACATGTTAGTGGTTTGGTGCTTGCTGAGGATATCATCAGGCTTTTGAATATAGCCAAATTACTCTTTTCTTCAAAAGACACTCTTCCAACCATGCCTTCTTTGAAATAAACATTGAAAATGGTTTTTTGTCTCAGGAAAGGTTTGTGAGCTGCAGATTACTCTGCAGGTTTTCTCTGTGACCGTGTGGGAAAGATCTGAAATATTTATCACTGTGTCGGGAATGGGTGTGCCATCCTGTGTGGAAAGGGCCTATAGCTGGAGGATGTCCAAGGTGTTGGCAAAGGTTTCTGGGAAGATTCATCCTGTGGAACCAGAATGCAGTGCTGAAAATCTCCAGGGAGAGAGATTATCTCCTAGCACTTACAATGCATTTTATTAACAAGAGTCAGTAGGCGAAATACCAGGAGAAAAGGCATCCTTTCTGACGCTTTCTCAGGCTTTGAAAACGAGGCTTGCTGCTTTCAAAACAGCTTGGGAGGTGAGATGGGGTGAGGCTGGTTGGGGGCAGGGCAACAAGCTGATTTGTAACTGGTGTGTTATAAGGCCTATATATGAGCCTGCTTCTGTTTATGAAAACCACATCCTAATTTCTTTTCTTAGGATGGTCTTGATTTTGGATACTCTGTTCTATCATCAGATTATGTATCAAAGATGTTTCCATGTTTTTGGTTTAGAAAATATGGCTATCTTACTTATCATATTGCCTCTATGATTATTTTCATAATAATGCTTCTACGATTTCTTTCATCTTTACTGCTTCCACCTTGGCTGGCCTCTCACTCTTCTCTTTACCTTTTCCAAATTATGACTTCCCTTTAATACCCATCACTAGTTGTATCTGTCAGGATCCCAGTATAACTTTCCTGGGTCCTAGACACTTTTGCCTTATGGCTCCTTCCTTCATAAAAAATATTCAAAAAATATATTTTATGACAGAGGTGGTATACAGACAAAGATAATCCACGCTGGATCATATTCATTTTTTTCTTCTGACTTTAAAAGACATTAAGATATTTTGAGTGGCTCTAAAAGTATCGTGGGCCCTAGGCACTGTGCCCCTGTGCGTGACGGAGAAGCGGTCCCTGGTACCACCTCCATCAAGCTGCCCTAAACAGATGCCCCTCCTCTTAATCCAGAACGCACACTCTAGAATCTGAGATTCCAGTTGAAATCCCAGCTTCTCCACTTTCTAACAATAATTCAGAGCAAGTGATTCAGCCTTTCTGAATGTTAAAGTCAGATTCTTCACTTATATAATTTTTACCTCGTAACGGCTGTCAATGTAAAGTGAGACAGTGTATATAGAGTGCTTGGTACTGTCCCTGGTCCTGAGTAAATACTTGGAATTGGTAGCTATTCATACTTAAACTGGAGTCCCTTTTCTCCACTTCTCCAGGGCTTGGATCTGGAGGATCTGGGCTGGAAAGCCCCCATGGTCTGCAGTCAGAGGCTTTGCAGTTTGCCTGACCTTTATTCAAATACTGTTTCTGCCCCGGAGCAAGTTATTTAACTTCTCTAATGCTCAACGTCTTCATCTATACGATGAGAACAATACTATCACCTACCTCATAAGCTTTTTGGAAGGAATCAATGAGAAAATGCATGCTCAGACCCATGAAACTTAATAAGCAGTAGTAGTAAAGGAAACCCTGGTGGTATAGTGGTTAAGTGCTATGGCTGCTAACCAAAAGGTTGGCAGCTCGAATTCACCAGGTGCTCCTTGGAAATTCTATGGGGCAGTTCTACTCTGTCCTATAGGGTCACTATGAGTCGGAATCGACGGCAATGAGTTTAGTAGTAAAGGTGGAGTCACTGGGTGGTGCAAGCGGTTAACGGACTCGGCTGTTAACTCAAAGGTTGGAGGTTCGAATCCACCCAGAGGCACCTCAAAGAAAGGCCTGACGATCTGAAAAATCAACCAATGAAAACTGTATGCAGTACAGTTCTATTCTAACACATACGGGGTCACCATGAGTCAGAATCAATTCGACGACAACCGGTTAATATTTAAACTGACATTGGTCATTAACTGTCTTGCTTTAAATTTTACACGATCTTGTACCTTTCCTCTTTTGTCATGACTCCCTAATTAAACTGTGCCCTCCTAGAGGGCTGGGAGTGCATTTTAGACATATGGTCCTCAAACTTTAGCATGCATCCGAATCATCTTGAGGAATTAAAGCACAGATTGCTAGTCCCACTGCCACAGTTTCTAATTTAGGAGGTCCAGGATGGGGCTGAGAAAACAAATTTCTAACAAGTGTCCAGGTGATGCTGATGCTGCTAGTCTGGGGACTCCACTTGGAGAGTGACTGTTTTAGACGGCTCTGTATCCTTCCAAAACCTAGCTAAGAGCCTTGCATAGAGGGAAGCTTTCAAATCGACTCACAGCAAATTATTTATGCAAAACATTCTACAAATGCCAGAAGGAAAATTCTAACTCTCCTTTCCCTCCATTAAGGAGCCCTGGTGGCACAGTGGGACCCTGGCTGTGCAGTGCTCAAGAGCTCAGTGGCTAACCAAAAAGTCAGTAGTTCGAATCTACCATCCACTCCTTGGAAACCCTATGAGGCAGTTCAACTCTGTCCTATAGGGTCTCTATGAGTTGGAATTGACTCAATGGCAATAGATTTGGTTTCGTTTGGTCTCCCCCTATTGTTGGAAAAGTTTCGTGACTGCAGAGGCTGAGCAAAAAAGAATCAGCAAAGAAATTTTATTGACAGAAAAGGTATTCGTGACACAACTGAACACTGTCATCTGTTGGATCCCAGGGACATGTGCAAAATGTAGACAAGAAGCCAAACAATAGCTCCGCCAACTCAAGGCTGCCTGAGTTCTGAGCTCAGTCTATAACAATGCCGGCAGGGATACTGGGATCCATCTGCTATGCTCTTTCTGATAACAGATCTGGGGACTCTGTAGAAGGAAATAGCTTGACGGGAAGCAAGAAAGATTAGGCCAACTGAAAATGGCTGGGTTTATGAAGCTGCACTGGAATATGGTAGAGCTTTTAACTCCTTAGGTAGGGCACACTGCTAACCCTCAATTTACTCCTGCTCTTCTGTTTTCTCTGTTCCTTTCATCAGAAATTTAACTTGTGTATGCCAAAGCTATCCTGGACACATCCTATTTGAATAAATTAAGTTTACAGAATTTAAAGGAACTCGAAGTAAGGAAGACTTGAAATGCTCTAGCTCTACCCACCCATTTTACAGACGAGGAAACATAAGCCTGAGGTTTATCCTAAAACATATAATTGGTTAATGGGAGAGCCAGGCTGGAATCCAGATTTCTTGACTTGCAGTCCTTTATACACACAAAATGAGGAGGCAAGAGATATTGTTTCCCCACCACAATTTAAGAAGGAAAGATGATTTTTCCCCTTCACTTAAGTTCCTTTTCAGTGCTAACCTTTTTGTCCTTGGAAGCAGGAGGGCTTTATAAAGGCAACTGAGGAGAAATGAAGGGCTCTAAAGAGTTTCAGAAAAGCCAGAAGCTTGAAGGCAAGAATGACATTCTGTTCCTGGGTGGTGCAACTGGTTAAGCACTTGGCTACCAACTGAAAGGCTGGCGGTTCAAATCCACCCAGGGGCACCCTAGAAGAAAGATCTGGTAATCTGCTTCCAAAAGGTCACAGTCATGAAAACCCTATGGAGCACAGTCCTTCTCTGATACATATAAGGTCACCAGAAGTCAGAACTGACTTGATGGCAACTGGTTTGGTTTTGATTATGCAGATTCTCAAAAATCAGACAGTGAATGAATGAATGATTGAATTATTGATTTGATGGTTGGTTGCCAATTTTTCAGCCAATTTTTTCCCAATTAGGGGATGACTATCTCACAGTAAGATTTTAAGCCTGCTGTGGAGTCTTCTTATCCCTATTAGTGAGTAAAACCAGTTGCTGTCAAGTTGATTCCAACTCATGGCAGCCCCGTGTGTGTCAGAGTAGAACTGTGCTCCAAAGGGTTTTCAATGGCTGATTTTTCAGAAGTAGATCACCAGGCCTTTCTTCCAAGGTACCTCTGAGTGGTCTCCAACATCCAACCTTTAAGTTAGCAGCTGAGCGTGTTAACCGTTTACAGCACTCAAAGACTCTGCTTGTAAAAGTAAGGTCTTTTCACAAAACCAGAAACGTATAAGAGTGGCAGTGTGCCAGTCTGGAAAAGTGCATGCTTTAGAGGTGTTAAGTTTTGAATCGCAGAGTATTCACTCTGGTTACTTCATCATAAGCAAGGTTTAGAACCTTCCAGAGCCTCAAGTCCCAGCCACTTCCCTCCCCCCACCAGTGTGTGCAAAATAAAGGTAATAATACCTACCACCTCAGGATTATTGTGAAGATTAAATGAGATAATGTATGCAAACTGCCTTGCACACAGTAGATGTGGAATAAATGGTAGTGCCCTCTCCACACGACTTCAACGGCCTGTTTAATAATAATTAGAATAAGAAGGAAAAAAAAAAGAGTAGGTGGGGCTAGGGGGATAGAAGGGTGGGTGTGAGAGTCTGGATGGAAACAGAAATGGTTTTTTGGGCTGAAACTGGACACAAATCATCATTACGGTTATCTAGAAGCTGCTTTTGCCAATGGTGTGTTTTGCAATAAATATAAGCAAAGCTCCTATCATTTAGGAATTCTAAATATTCCATAATCTTCCATTATCTTCCTGTTTCCAAATAAAATGATTTCCAGGAAAATATGAATCTAGCTTTTTACTTACCCATTTGTTCTTGGTTTCCTTTTTCTGGGCTCAAGGAACTCTGTCTCCTCCTCCACTTCCGCTTCAGGGATCATGTTTTTCTGAGAAGGCTGCGGTGAAAGCATTTCCCATTCATTGTCATGGGCAACAGCCTGCAGTATAACAGCATCCGGCCCAGCACCACCTCGGCTCTTGGTCTTCCTTGATTGGCTGCTCAGACCAGAGGCTTCCTCTAACACTAAAGATTCTGGAGGCTTCACTTCTCCCAGAACCTGCGTCTGGTAACCCTTGCCCGGGCTAGGATCTGAAGCTGGCTCCATAGCCTCAGCAGACCATCCAGACCCTGAGATCCTGGCTTCCAGTTGACTGGAACCTCCTTCTGATGTTGGATCACCAACCTCATTGTGGCCCAAGACCATCCAACCCTGATCTTGCCCAGGGCTTTCAGGAGAAGATCTCTTAACATATTTGGAAACTACTCTCTCTGAAGAATGGTCTTTTCTTTCATTTAAAGAGGCTGACTTAAATGTGTCTGGGAAACTTGTTAACTGAGTTCCTGACAGCCCCATTTCTTCAGAACTTGTGTGAGAGTCTTCTAATTCAAACGTGCTTTCTCTTGCTTCACAGGCCTCTGGCTTCTGAGGCGAATATTCTTCATGGTTTACAAGTATGTAATCCATGTGTAGTGCATGATGATCTTCATTCTGCTCTGTGCAACTTTCTTCCTTGTATTCTGATTTTAATTGCTCAGGGTCTTTGGTAGGAATTATTTTTTCTTCTTTCAAGTCTAATATCCTCTTGTTGGCATCTGGAAGTGGAAGATGAAGGTGAAAAGGAGAGAACAAGGTTTAATTAACACATTATACGATTTGTGATCTGTGCAGATGATTCATCTAAAAAGAGATATTTTAAGAAATAGTTGTGTTTTGTAGAGCTTTTCATTTTCTCATGCACTGTCAGGGATAATTGTTCTCTATACGTTAGATATTACTGCTGTTACTCAGGACTCGGTTAAGCATGCATTGCAAATATAGCTAATTCCTGTCTACCCACATTGGTAGGAAGAAGTATCTTAAAAATGCACTAGTTTGAGTGGGTTTAATGAAGGTAGTTTCTTGGGGTTGGCAGAGAGGGACATTTCTTACCATTTGCTGGTCCTATGTCTCCACCTGCTGGTGAATAAGAATAATCTGTTTCTACGTCCCAGTCAACATCGTTGGAAGGAGACAACTCCACATCCAAGCCTTCTCTTACAGGCAAAGAAAGGGACTCAGAGTCTTCATCAATATGCAGCGCCACCAGCTGTAGTCCAGGCTGTATGCTTGTGGTCTCTGTGTGGTTTTCCTTGCCTCTTCTATCAGGCAGGGCAGAAAACAATAGCTCTGCAGCTTCACTCCCTAAAGATTCATCCTTTGGAGACTCCGCTTCCTCTGTCTTTTCAGAACCCTGGGTAGGTTCTGTGAGATAGGACAAATCAAAGGGAGGTGTGTATGGTGCCAGAGGTTGCTTCAGGACATCTTCCTCCATGGGATGGTCAGCACCATAAAGAAAGTGTTCAGGCTCTTTCATTAAGTCCTCGTCAATATTTTGGCCCATCACGTCATATTCAAAATCACCCCACGAGGCTTCAGATGAACAGATATCCTGCTTCCCTGCATCCCCATCAACTGGAGTTTCAGGATTGCCTTCTGACAATGTCAGTTTACTCATGTCATCTATTGTTCCCGTGGATGTGTTGAGACCTGAGGCATCACTGAAACTGTGGTCAAAGGCAGCTTCGCTTACATCCAGACACATGTCTGAGACCAACAGAGTGTCAGTAACTGAGGCAGGACCCTCAGCGGCAAAAGGTTGCTCATAGTCAAGCAAGGCCCTTACATCTCTCTTATTTTCAGGAGCAAAGTCCTCTGATATCAAATGGCTATTGCCATCCAGACCTGGCTCTGGGTGAGTCACAAAAATACTGGTTCCCACATTTTCATTCACTGGGATTGTTCTGTCAAAAAGTTCCAAAACAGGTACTATATCTGAGCTGGTTCCTATTTCTGACGCTTGTAAATCTATATCATTTTCATCATTTATTTCAGAAGGTTCCAGAGAAACCTTATGAGAGGCAGGCTGAGACATGCCACTTGTCTTTGCTTGTTTGCTGATTGTAGGCAGTGGAATGGCATTTTCAGAATATAGTCTTGAATTGTACGGGACAAATTCCTGCCCAGGATCCTGACTGGGCTCTTCATCCATCTTTGGTTCAGTAACATTTAACTCACCGGATTCCACTTCAGGTCCCATCTGAGCACTGCTATGGTGCTCAGTCTCCTGCTTTGCTTCATAATCATGACATATATCAGGGCTGTTGGAAGCCTGTGAGTTGCTATCATGGTCACAGTGAGTCAGTATGTCAGGATTCTCACCATCTGCTTTCAAACTGAAGGGCTGCTTTGCATCCATCCACAAGTCAGGCGAAGCTGAGGCCAGCTGCCCGCCCTCTTGGAAACTGCCATGTAAAATATCTGGAACAAACGTACCTTGAAGGCCCTCACTAGGGGTAGAGTCATTCCATTCTGAGCCTGCCTTCTTTAACAATTGGGTAGGAGAACTGACAACAGGGACATTTTCTGAGGCAATGCTTGAATTTGTAATTTCACTGGTGTACGATTTTTCTTGTTCCCAGCGGTTTGTCTCTTGACACTCAAAAGTTGAAACGTGAGATGCAACACATTCATTTTCACCTGTAAATGTTGGGTCTGGCTGATCCCCATATGGCAGCATGGTATCTGGACACTGCTCTTGGGTATGCGTTTCAAAAGTGAGTTCATCACCAGCAGAAGACATTAAGATTTGCTCTCTTGAATCCTTTTCTTTAATTTGGTCCAATATTTCCAGCTGGTTAAGCTCATCAGCATCTGAGTCTGGCTCTTTTGGTTGAATGTTCCAAAGCTGCTCATGGGAGTTCTTCTCATTACTATCCAGAAAGGCAGACTGATGTTTATCCTTGAAAGAATTAGTACAATGGGTTTCCATGGATTCAGCATCACCATGAATGTATACTTTGCAGGGATCCACATTTTGGTAGACTGAAGAATTCATCTCTAACGTATCACTTGAGTTTGATAGCTCCCCTTCAAATGTCCTCTCAATTGGTCTTCCTTCCTGTGGAGAGGCAGTCCACCACTCATCACTCTCAGCTGAGAAGCCAAGCATTTCCAATTTAGAATTATCAGCAGTCTGTGGTTGAGTTTGGGGAGACATTTGCCATGCAGTATCTCCTGTCTTCACTGCTTCTGGAGAAGATTTTGTCTCCCTATCCACTGCTGTAATCTGTAGCTCAGTCTCCTTTACTCGTGAGAAATTCCAGTGATCAGGGCTGCTTTGTCGATCGTCATGGAACAGATCTGACTTATTTTCATCCTCTGCTGGTTCTGAACTGCCTACATATTCAGAACATTCCTGAACGTGGGGATCAGCCTTGGCCAAGAACTTACTAGATTCATTCAGTGAATCTAACTGTGGTGAGAAAGTCCAGGGATCAGGGCTGTTTTGTTGATCATCATAAAATCGGTCTGACTTATTCTCTGCTGGTTCTGAACTGCCTATACATTCAGAATACTCCTGAACATTGGGCTCAGCTATGGCCAAGAACTTATTAGATTCATCCAATGAATCTAATTGTGGTGAGAAAGTCCATTGATCAGGGCTGCTTTGTTGATCGTTGTGGAATGGATTTGACTTATTCTCATCC